TCATTCAATTACTCATTACCCTGTTCCCGTCACGTTGTGAACGTCTTATATATACAAGACTAACACATGTCTAGTAAATGCTAAGGCATTCATGAAGGAACAGGATATTTCTAGAAAGACGTGGCGTGATACTAGTCACGTGACCTCGATGACGCAACAATATTTACTTTAATTAATTGTCTCAATCTAGCTTATTAAGGCTGAAATAATTCTAGAACAGAAAAATCTTTCAGACTTATATGAATGCTAAAAAATTTGTTAAAAATGTTTGACTATAAATCGATAAGTACTTCTTACAATGTAAAAATGCATGGAACTTCTTCCCATAGCCACAAACTTGACTGTGACACTAATAGACGTAAGAGAATGTGTCGCACTTAATAATAAGGTTTGTGAATGAAATATCAAAGTCTGTTCAGAGTGAAGTGATGATATTGTTGTTCTTATTTTACAGGTACTAGAGAGCAATCTTTCGTGTATGCCCTTTCTTCTGCAGCTGTGGGCCATACTGTCGCACGTGCCTGCAGCGCAGGAAATATCTTATCTTGCGGCTGCGGGCGTGTGCCAAGCGGACAAGCACAGGGGGATTTCAAATGGGGAGGATGTGCAGACAATCTTCTTCATGGAATCAAATTCTCTCGCTCTTTTTGTAATAGTCCGTGGATGAGAAAGAAAACGAAGAAAACTGTGGAAGGTGTCTTGAACAGGCACAACAACAGGGCAGGAAGAATGGTAAATAACATCATTATGAGATTATTTGATATGTGATACAAGTATATACAAATCTCGCAATAAATTTGTTCCCAATTTAAAACCATAGTCTAATGCATTTTAAGGTCTTATTTAATCAAAGTTTTTAAAACAATGTGATGTGTTTACCATGTTATGAAGAAATACTAATTCAGTTTGTTTATACAGATATTTAAACAGAGCTGTCGTTGTTGTTGGGTTTTAGCGCAAAGCTATACAGTGGGGTATATGCGCTCTGTCCACCGTATAGAATCGAACCCCAGATTTTAGCTGGAAGGTCAGTAAACTTACCACTTACCCACCGGGGACTTTAAACAGATTGCGTTCGTTTGCAAATAAAATTCTTTTGTTTAATATAATAATATAAAGCACGTCATAAAGAAAGTGTGAATGACAAACTAAAACAGTGTCTGAATCAACTCTTGTTCTTAGTCTAGTGAATAATAAACTATAACAGTGTCTGTGTCAACTCTTGTTCTCAATGTAGTGAATAATAAACTATAACAGTGTCTGTCTCAACTCTTGTTCTTAGTGCAGTGAATAATAAACTATAACAGTGTCTGTGTCAACCCTTGTTCTTATTGTAGTGAATAATAAACGATAATAGTGACTGTGTTCACTCTTGTTCTTCGTGTAGTGAACAATAGATTATAACAGTGTCTGTGTCAACTCTTGTTCTCAGTGTAGTGAATAATAGACTATAACAGTGTCTGTGTCAACTCTTGTTATTAGTGTAGTGAATAATAAAGTATAACAGTGTCTGTGTCAACTCTTGTTCTCAGTGTAGTGAATAATAAACTACAAAAGTGTCTGTGTCAACTCTTGTTCTCAGTGTAGTGAATAATAAACTATAACAGTGTCTGTGTCAACTCTTGTTCTCAGTGTAGTAAATAATAAACTATAACAGTGTCTGTGTCAACTCTTGTTCTCAGTGTAGTGAATAATATACTATAACAATATCTGATTCAACTCTTGAGCTCAGAACTTTCGTATATTGAATATGATTTTTTAAATGTCCAAAGTCACATTGAGTAACTTTCTTTGAGGGGGGGGGAGCACTTTGGCAACTTTCAAAATACACTACAATTGGTGTTTGTTATTTTCAACCTAAACGACACCTAGTGCGAACATGGGCTAAACATCCAATTAGTTATTGGTTGTTAAGCACAAAGCTACACAACGGGCTTTCTGTGCTCTGGCCATCACGGGTATCGAAACCCGACTTGTCACGTCGTAAGCCAGCGGACTTACTTCTGAGCCACTGGGAGGTGGGGGCAAACATACAGGTCATAGACCTGTAAAGTTCAGTTATAGCTGTCCCTATGTTTGAACTAATGACCAGAGGGAAAGGGCTACGAGTCACCAAAACACCTGCCACCACAAATAATTTGTCCGGATGTACTATGAAAGGTAACATGTAACAGAAGGTCAAATAAAAAATATGCAAATAAAGGAGGAGGATTAACAAAGAAATCTAAAAATATATATCAACTTAATAAACATACTGAAAGGATAATTTAAATTACAGTAAATAGTTTAGATCATTTTCATTATTTAATGTTATTTTATTTTTATAAAGATTTCATATAGTAACTTTATTTCAATATTTTTACATTCCCCGAATGAGAAACATAAATATGATTGTTTTAAAAAAGATATACGTCCCTTTAAGCCTAAATTTCGTGATAAAAACACAATACATTACATGTTTTCCATTTCTTCTAATTAGCCCATTACAGATTTCAAATTAAAGATGTGTTAAAGATAATTTTAAATACATCTTTCGTCTGTCACACTTCGCAGGCCAAGAGGTCTTTGTTCATTGGAAAGAACTTGTCAATTAAGATACGTTATGTGCATTACGAAACATTTAATGTTACTTTGTTAACTGTGTTATCACTGAAAGTAATGTACTCATACTGTTACGCCTCCAGTCGTTAGTTAATTTTCCGTAAATTCGTTCAGACGAAACTTTAGCGACACAAGTCCTTTCTTAAATAAAACTGGTTTATTCTTTCCGAATACAACTTTACGACACACTTAATTTCAACAGTCGCTCTGTAACAAACGCTATAATTCTCACGTGCTTAACAATATTCTCTCTGACTGCAGTTCAATTACTCATCACCTCTGTTGTCCCGTCACGTTGTGACCGTCTTATATATATACAAGACTAACACATATCTAGTAAATGCTAGGGCATTCATGAAGGAACAGGATATTTCTAGAAACAGGTGGCGTGATACTAGTCACGTGACCTCGCTGACGCAACAGTTCCAAAGCAAAGTTCAAAGTACTGCAGCATGATCAATGGAACAGGTGAGTTTGTTTTGGAATGTTCAAAGTACTCCAATATGATCAATGGAACAGGTGAGAGTAAGTAAGGAACCTGAAAAAAGATTCATTACCAATTAACTCTTAAGGCTAAACTATTTAAATAGGTACTGTACAATAAATGAGTGTAGAATACTCACATGAAGTAGGTTCAATAAGTACAGCATTTAAAATATTTATTTAACACTGCAAGATTCTGGTGTTATAATCACAATAAAAATTACCTAGCAGGGTTAGTTTAAAACTTTACTTAATTACAATAAAACTACCAAGCAGGGTTAGTTTAAAACTTTACTTAATTACAATAAAACTACCTAGCAGGATTAGTTTAAACCTTGAGTTAGTAACTTAATTACGATAAAACTACCTAGCAGGGTTAGGTTCTACCTTAACTTCATTACAATAAAACTAATTATCAAGGTTAGGTTAAACCTAATTCTTGTCACAGTTAAATTTCACTGTCAGTGCAGTCACTATAATTATAAAACTAAGACAGAGTTAGGTAAAGGTAAATTTAATTAGGGTTGTGATGCTAAGGTTATGTACGAAATCACAGTGAATTTTAAAATTTACCTTTTATTTTCCCAAGTGTTCATAAGAGTGAATTTACTGGAATCTCGTACTCCCGTAAAAACTGATAACGTTCCACCTCGAGAGTTGTTTTTCTGTCACAGACAACAACGTTAATATAGGACAAATAATTTACTATTTATTTTATTAAACCTCAAAAAAAAAAAGGATAGAAATCCTAAGGTTAAAATTTGAAGTCGTGTTTATTTTCCCAAATTTTCTTTCTTGAAGTAATACTTTTCAGAAATGCATGTTTTCACACTAAAATTTCACATTATTATTATCATTTGAATACAAAACAAAAAGTTTACTCTAGCTATTGAACAACAATATACTTGTTTTATCGGTTAAGTCATACTTGTCTGGATAATACTATACATTACATATTCGGCTATACAACAATGTAGACGACCCATTTTTAAAGATACTTACACCATAAAAAAGGCCAAAAGTGTTGTTTGGTAGTAACTGTGGTATCTTTATAAATGGTTTGGCTAGTAGGGCCAGATCCTTCATCAGGGGCACTCCATAACCATCAAAGAGAAGCTCACGAACCAACCGTTTCACAAACAATTCTTCCTTGTATTTCTTGAACAAGGAATTCAGTACTGGTAAGAAGAATGGGCGAATTAAAGCTGACACTTTCTCAAGAGCAACTTTAACAATTCCCTGAAAAATCCAAATGATGAAAAATTCCTGAGTGTAAGTCAGGAATTAAGAACGTACGTCTAGAAGAACCATAATTTAACACATAAAACAAAAGTAACCATCTTTCGCCGAAAACACTGTTTTTACAAATACACACCTATAAGTATGATACATTTTTATCACTTAACCAATACAGCATATACAAAAACATAGTTCTGTCCCTGAAGTCCTGGGTTTGAATCCACCACAATAAATAAATTCTGTGCAGATTAAATCTGAATACTTCTGGTAGGTTGGTTATGCAAAAGTTTTGTTAAGATATTATGTCTATCTGAATACTTGTGTTCTGGCAGTTCAGCTATTGAGTTCATCGAAAAACGTGTCATGATTTTGATAAGCGAAACGATTTGTTAAGCTATGATGTACATCTGAAAATGTATCACAAGTTTGATACGTGAAACGTTTTGTTAAGCTATAGTGTACATCTGAAAACGCAGAGATGTCGGGTGTATTTTTACATATTTGACTTATATGACAATTGTTAATTATATAATGTTATATAGCCAAGTACCACCACTTTTCAACTCCTTCCTACACCACTGAAACGTATCAATATTTTGATACACGAAACGTTAAGTTATCATGTACATCTGAATATTCATTGCAGATTTGTTATGCGAAACGTTGTGTTAAGATATCGTATCTTTCTGAATACTTAATACCGATTTATTTGGCGAAAAGTTTTGTTACATTATCGTGTACATCTCAACACTTATCACACATTTGTTACGCGAAACATTGTGTTAAGCTACCGCTAGGTTCAGGTGAAAACGGCGGTTCGATAAGCAAAAACACGGGTCCAGTCTCAGTAGGTTTTTGATTAAATATGAAACTATACTAATACTCACCAGTAACGGTACGTTTATGACGTAGACTATTTCATCTTGGGTTCCAGCTGAAAGTCCTTTTTCAAAAACATAGGATTTTACTTCGTGGTAGAGTACAGTGTCTTCTTCTTTGTTCCATCCGATAATCTCTTTAACTCTAGTTTCCCTGTAAGTTAGGCTTTATTTATTACAAATAATCTCTTTAACCATAGTTTCCTTGAAAGTCAGGCTTTAGTTGCTTCAAATAATCTCTTTAACCCTAGTTTCTCTGACATTCAGGCTTTAGTTATTTCAAATAATCTCCTTTAATCTAGTTTCCTTGAAATTCAGGCTTTAGTTGCTTCAAATAATCTCCTTAACCCTAGTTTCTCTGAAATTCAGGCTTTAGTTATTTCAAATAATCTCCTTAACCCTAGTTTCTCTGACATTCAGGCTTAAGTTATTTCAAATAATCTCCTTTATCCTAGTTTCTCTGAAATTCAGGCTTAAGTTATTTCAAATAATCTCCTTAACCCTAGTTTCACTGAAAGTCAGGCTTAAAAAATTCAAATAATCTCTCTAACCATAGTTTCCCTGAAAGTTATTTAAAATTGTATATACATAGCTCTCTTACTTCGCATTCGTACGGCCTACTGTACAGTAATGTTTCCTTTAAACCTCAAAAAGTGTATCACGTGAATTTTACAAATTAAATGAACTGGAAACATAATTACTTCAATGTGTTTGTTTTGCTTGTTGTTAAGCACGAAGCAACACAATGGGCTATCTTTGCGATGCGCACCAATAGTATCGAAACCCAATTCGTAGAATTATAAACTCTCAGACAAACCGCTGAACCACTGTAGGAAATTTCAATAGGATGAAAAATGAGAAAAAAATGTGCTATAAAAATTTCACATATGTATGTTTTAATTGACAAAACTGTAGACGGGGAGGTGTTATCGTAGAGGCAAAAATAGCGGGGCTATAAAACAAACGCAATTTTACTTCGTGTTTATAATATCCCCCCCTTGTTACATATAACACCCACCCTACACAGTGGAAATTGTACACGATTCTGAAAACTTAGCAACTGTTGTAAATCGATGAGACGAGAACTCGACAGATTACAAGTTTTTATTTTATTTATCACGAAACGTGCATAATAATAATCTTCTTATAAATTATTTTTAAGTTTGTAAGGGTTAATAAAAGGCCTGGTGGTTAAGGTGTTAGACTCGAAATATATAGGTAACGGGATCGAACCCTGTCACTGAACATGGTTGAACTTTTACCATTAATTCATTACTAAGCTATATAATAACATATTCCCTGTTTCATAAATATTGTTACGTATCTGCTTGTTTGTTAATTTCCCATAGAAATTCTTTCCGAGAAACTTAAGCGATACGAGTTATTTCTTAATTAAAACTAGTT